CTGCTGAGAAGGGCCCTACTCTTGGCCCACCCTCTCTGCCACCAGCTTGACTTTCTTAACGTTTGAACAGGGAGCCCTGCATTTGATTTGGTCCTGGGTCTTGCAAATTATGGGACCGGTCCTGTGTACAGGGCACCGTGGCAGCCCGACATGGGTCCTCTAAGTTCTGTGAAGGTGCAGGAGGCTTTCAGAAAGAGGAAGGTGCAGGGAATACCAGGAAGTGCAGCTGGAAAGGAAGAACCAGACCACGAGCATGTCACATTTCAGGTTCAGGCAATTAGGACTTCACCCTGGAGCGAATGGGCTTGGAGCCAGAGCGGCCCAGTTGGGCTGAATGCAGTCTCTCTGGGGCTGATGCACCAGCTAGATCGGTAAGGTCCAGCTGAGAGCAGAAAAACTAGTTAAGCAGTGATTGCAATGATCCAGGTAAATAATGAGGAAGACCTGCCACAGAAAAATAGCAGTAGGGGCGGGCCGCCCACAGCACGGTAGTTAAGTACTGCACACTGGAAATCGATCCCATGTGGCCAACCACAGCTGGAATCCTGACCCAGTTGGCTTGAAAACATACCAGGCATGTGTGCATGCATGCCCCAAATCCTGACGGGATACAGAAATGGAGGAAAAGGGATCACTGCATGACCATGCCTTGTGGGTGGTTCTCTCCCCCTGCCTGCCTCTGGTGAGTGCATACACACTAGCAATTTAAAAAAAAATTAGGGGACCAGCAGGTGGTGTAATGGTTATGTCACTGAACTCTCACATAGTCGACAGCGGTTCGAGTCCCCGACTCGGCAGCTTAAAACTCATAACAGGTGTGTGTGCATGCATGCCCAAAATCCCAAGAGGAGACTGGAGGAGAAGGGATTGTGGCGTGGCCACCCCTCTTAGGAGGTGACTTCTCGCTTTCTGTCTCTCTCTGTCTCTCTGGTGAGTGCATGTGCTCTATAGCAGAAACCTCTCTAAAATAAATAAATAAGGGGAACCAGCAGTTAGCATAATGGCTATGTTGCTGGACTCCCACGTAGTCGAGATTTCTCGCTTTCTGTCTCTATGTCTCTGTCTGTCTGGCGAGCGTACGCACCCTATAGCGAAGAAACCTCTCCAAAAAATAAAAAAAAAATTTAAAAATTAAATAAATAAATAAATAAATAAATAAATAAATAAATAAATAAAAAGAAGAATAGTAAGAGGAAAGAGGTAAGAATGAATTCAGTAAACATTTAGGGAGAAAAACCAGCAGAGCTTAATGACTGTCCCTAGGGTATCTCCCGGCCTCAGGGTCAGGCTGGGTTGCAGACAACAGTTCTGTACCTAATCTATTATAGAAAATATATCAGTAACAGGAGGGTTCGGTGTGATATGGAGGAGTGGAAGTGATAAATAATTCAGGATGAGACTCATTGTTAAGATGTCCATTCTTGGGGCCAGCAGGTGACGTAGTAGTTAAGGCACTGGACTACCACGAGTCCAACTGCAGTTCATGTCCTGGACACGGTAGCTTGAACTCATGCCCACTGCATGTGCATGTGTGCCCCAAAGCCTGACCCTGAGAGGAGACCAGGAGAAGGGATTGCTGCATGGCCATTCCCCCTTGGGGGGTGACTTCTTACTATCCTATCTGCTTCTGTCTCTCTCTGGCAAGCGCACACACCTTATGGAAAAAAAAATCATTCTTTTAAAAATTTTTTTCTATACTTGTGATAGAGCATGTGCATGCACACGTGAGACCAGGAGAGGAAGACGGAGAGAGAAGCACCCTCTACAGGAGCTGGTCTCATCACAGTCCCTTCCTCCCGTCATCCAGCTGAGCGGGCCTTGGGCAGTTGTGCGTGCCTTTCAGGCAGACCACGTCAGGATTTGAACCATGGCAACCATGTGGGATCTAGCTTCTCTTCGACAGCACTTTACTGCTGTGCCACTGAGTCAGTCTTCTAAAAACCTTTCTAAAAATGAAGACTTTAATAAAAAAAATACAGACTGGGAGAAAATATTCCAGCATGTGTATCTGACAAAAGTCTAGTGAGTATCCTATATAAAGAACTCCTATAACTCAATAATGAAAAACAAGCA